CGCCAGGTTCCAAAGAACCGCGATAGCATCTAGACGCTACAATATTTATCGTGCTGGGCAAAACATTGGCTTGTGACATACAATCCCAACAAAACAGAAGCTATACTTTTCAGTCTTAAGAATAGTACTTCAATTCTAAATTTAGAATTTGAAAATCAGTGTGTATGTTTGGAAAAATCTCAAACATCTAGGAGTAACATTTTCTTCTGATTGTAAATGGAACACCCACATTGATAACATTGTAAGAACAACGTCCTTGATGGTTTCATCAATGAGAAAATTTAAGTTCATGTTAAACAGAGACACTCTAAATAAGATTTTTATTGTATTTATAAGACCACATCTTGAATATGCTTGTGAATTGTGGGATGGTTGTTCGGCAGATTTAACCGATAAATTGAAAAAGTTCAGTTTGAGGCCCCCAGGATAGTTACTGGTTTACCAAAATATGCTACTAGAGATACTCTAATGTATGAAACAGGTTGGCAATTGTTAAAAGAAAGAATAAGATGTCGTAAACTGTCTTTATTCTATAATATCTACAACAAAAATGTTCCATCCTACCTTTGTGATTTAGGACAAATCTAGGACAAATTATAATCTTAGAAACATTCATGATCTTTCCCTGTCTTATTCCTGCACAAATCTCTACAGTCAATCATTTTTCCCATCATCTTCACAACTTTGGAATAATCTCCCTTTATATGTTAGAGAATCAGTTTCCCTCAAAAGTTTTAGAACGCATATAAACTCGCGTAAGTCAAAAGCACCAGGATATTTCTCATTTGGTAATAGAAAACTCAATGTAATTCGTACCCAGCTAAGATATTCAAATAGTAGATGAAGTGGTGATCTATATAGGATTGGTCTTATAGAGAACCCCGAATGTCATTGTAAATTCACCTGTGAAAATTCTCAGCATTATTTTATGGAATGTTCTTTGTGTTCTAATATCAGACAGGAAGTGTTTCAAAATATTAGCAGAATTTGTAACATTAGAGCACCAACAAACCTAATCGTACTATTAAATGGCAGTGCAGATCTTCTGTACAGTGACAATATTCAAATTTTTAAAGAAGTTCAAAAATATATAGCAAACTCAAAAGGTTCAGTTATTGGATATAATGTTTATGATCTAAATAAATAATTCATGTATTAATTGTATTGTATATATCCTTTTGTATATATCTTTCTATCCCTGTACATATAGTTTGTTTCACTTTTCCATGTAAGCACTGTAAATAGGACAGGGTTTCACTAAATTGGCATAACTTGTACCCAAGTCATTCTCTTGAATAAATATGTTTAAATCAAATTAATGAGTGTGATCCTCCACCATCAATGACAAGCTACTGAGGCAGAGCTCCTCCAACAATCAATGACACCTTACTGATGCTGAGTTCCTCCAACCAGCAGAGACACCCTACTGATGCTGAGTTCCACCAACCAGCAGTGACACCCTACTGATGCTGAGTTCCTCCAACCAGCAGTGACACCCAACTGATGCTGAGCTCCTCCAACCAGCAGTGACACCCAACTGATGCTGAGCTCCTCCAACCATCAATGATGACCTACTGATGCTGAGCTCCTCCAACCAGCAGAGACACCCTACTGATGCTGAGCTCCTCCAACCATCAATGATGACCTACTGATGCTGAGCTCCTCCAACCAGCAGTGACACCCAACTGATGCTGAGCTCCTCCAACCAGCAGTGACACCCAACTGATGCTGAGCTCCTCCAACCAGCAGAGACACCCTACTGATGCTGAGCTCCTCCAACCAGCAGAGACACCCTACTGATGCTGAGTTCCTCCAACCAGCAGAGACACCCTACTGATGCTGAGCTCCTCCAACCAGCAGAGACACCCTACTGATGCTGAGCTCCTCCAACCAGCAGTGACACCCAACTGATGCTGAGTTCCACCAACCAGCAGAGACACCCAACTGATGCTGAGTTCCACCAACCAGCAGTGACACCCAACTGATGCTGAGTTCCTCCAACCAGCAGTGACACCCAACTGATGCTGAGCTCCTCCAACCAGCAGTGACACCCAACTGATGCTGAGTTCCTCCAACCAGCAGTGACACCCTACTGATGCTGAGTTCCACCAACCAGCAGTGACACCCTACTGATGCTGAGTTCCTCCAACCAGCAGTGACATCCAACTGATGCTGAGTTCCTCCAACCAGCAGAGACACCCTACTGATGCTGAGCTCCTCCAACCAGCAGTGACACCCAACTGATGCTGAGTTCCTCCAACCAGCAGAGACACCCTACTGATGCTGAGCTCCTCCAACCAGCAGTGACACCCTACTGATGCTGAGTTCCTCCAACCAGCAGTGACACCCAACTGATGCTGAGCTCCTCCAACCATCAATGACACCCAACTGATGCTGAGTTCCTCCAACCAGCAGAGACACTCTACTGATGCTGAGTTCCTCCAACCATCAATGACACCCTACTGATGCTGAGCTCCTCCAACCAGCAGTGACACCCAACTGATGCTGAGCTCCTCCAACCATCAATGACACCCTACTGATGCTGAGTTCCTCCAACCAGCAGAGACACCCTACTGATGCTGAGTTCCTCCAACCGTCAATGACACCCTACTGATGCTGAGTTCCTCCAACCAGCAGAGACACCCTACTGATGCTGAGTTCCTCCAACCAGCAGAGACACCCTACTGATGCTGAGCTCCTCCAACCAGCAGAGACACCCTACTGATGCTGAGTTCCTCCAACCATCAATGACACCCTACTGATGCTGAGTTCCTCCAACCAGCAGAGACACCCTACTGATGCTGAGTTCCTCCAACCAGCAGAGACACCCTACTGATGCTGAGCTCCTCCAACCAGCAGAGACACCCTACTGATGCTGAGTTCCTCCAACCAGCAGTGACACCCAACTGATGCTGAGCTCCTCCAACCATCAATGACACCCAACTGATGCTGAGTTCCTCCAACCAGCAGAGACACCCTACTGATGCTGAGTTCCTCCAACCAGCAGACACCCTACTGATGCTGAGTTCCTCCAACCAGCAGTGACACCCTACTGATGCTGAGTTCCTCCAACCAGCAGAGACACCCTACTGATGCTGAGCTCCTCCAACCAGCAGTGACACCCTACTGATGCTGAGCTCCTCCAACCAGCAGAGACACCCTACTGATGCTGAGTTCCTCCAACCATCAATGACACCCTACTGATGCTGAGCTCCTCCAACCATCAATGACACCCTACTGATGCTGAGCTCCTCCAACCAGCAGTGACACCCTACTGATGTTGAGCTCCTCCAACCAGCAGAGACACCCAACTGATGCTGAGTTCCTCCAACCAGCAGAGACACCCTACTGATGCTGAGTTCCTCCAACCAGCAGAGACACCCTACTGATGCTGAGTTCCTCCAACCAGCAGAGACACCCTACTGATGCTGAGTTCCACCAACCAGCAGTGACACCCTACTGATGCTGAGTTCCTCCAACCAGCAGTGACACCCAACTGATGCTGAGCTCCTCCAACCAGCAGTGACACCCAACTGATGCTGAGCTCCTCCAACCATCAATGATGACCTACTGATGCTGAGTTCCTCCAACCAGCAGAGACACCCTACTGATGCTGAGCTCCTCCAACCATCAATGATGACCTACTGATGCTGAGCTCCTCCAACCAGCAGTGACACCCAACTGATGCTGAGCTCCTCCAACCAGCAGTGACACCCTACTGATGCTGAGCTCCTCCAACCAGCAGAGACACCCTACTGATGCTGAGCTCCTCCAACCAGCAGAGACACCCTACTGATGCTGAGCTCCTCCAACCAGCAATGACACCCTACTGATGCTGAGTTCCTCCAACCATCAATGACACCCTACTGATGCTGAGTTCCTCCATCCAGCAGAGACACCCTACTGATGCTGAGCTCCTCCAACCAGCAGTGACACCCTACTGATGCTGAGCTCCTCCAACCAGCAGAGACACCCTACTGATGCTGAGTTCCTCCAACCAGCAGAGACACCCTACTGATGCTGAGCTCCTCCAACCAGCAGTGACACCCTACTGATGCTGAGTTCCTCCAACCAGCAGAGACACCCTACTGATGCTGAGTTCCTCCAACAATCAATGACACCTTACTGATTCTGAGTTCCTCCAACCAGCAGAGACACCCTACTGATGCTGAGCTCCTCCAACCAGCAGTGACACCCTACTGATGCAGGGGTCAGAGTAAACATTCAGACAGGATGCAGGGGTCAGGGTAAACATTCAGATAGGATGTGGGGGTCAGGGTAAACACTCAGATAGGATGCGGGTGATGGGATAAACACTCAGACAGGATGTACAGGTAAGGATTATCTTGCTAGTGCAGTATGCCAAGTTTGTTATCATAATCATCTTGGGGTCAGGGTAAACACTCAGACAGGATGTGGGGGTCAGGGTAAACACTCAGACAGGATGTGGGGGTCAGGGTAAACACTCAGACAGGATGTGGGGGTCAGGGTAAACACTCAGGCAGGATGTGGGGTCAGGGTAAACACTCAGACAGGATGTGGGGTCAGGGTAAACATTCAGACAGGATGTTGGGGTCAGGGTAAACATTCAGACAGGATGCAGGGGTCAGGGTAAACACTCAGACAGGATGTTGGGGTCAGGGTAAACACTCAGACAGGATGTGGGGGTCAGGATAAACACTCAGACAGGAAGTGGGGGTCAGTATCAACACTCAGACAGGATGTGGGGGTCAGGGTAAACACTCAGACAGGATGTGGGCTCAGGATAAACACTCAGACAGGATGTGGGGGTCAGGATAAACACTCAGACAGGATGCGGGTGTCAGGATAAACACTCAGACAGGATGCGGGGTCAGGGTAAACACTCAGACAGGATGTGGGGGTCAGGGTAAACACTCAGACAGGATGTACAGGTAAGGATTATCTTGCTAGTGCAGTATGCCAAGTTTGTCATCATCTTGATTGAACTCGCCACCCATTTCATCCCATTTCCCACATACTTCTCTGGTGGCATCCACTTCTGCTCCTGACTCCAGCATCACCTTGACAACTGGGGCATGTCCCATCTGTGCAGCTATCCACAATGGGGTGGCATGATCCTTGAATTGAGTTTGGAAGTATGTAGATATGATATAGAAAAGCATGAAAAGGATCACCAAAAGTAAGGTGGAGTTGGTTTATCACAACTATCTCACTGTCCTAACTGTCTCACTGTCCTGACTATCGAACATATGTAACTGTCTCACAGTCCTAACTGTCTCACTGTCCTAACTATCTCACTGTCCTAACTATCTCACAGTCCTAACTGTCTCACAGTCCTAACTGTCTCACTGTCCTGACTATCTCACGGTCCTAACTGTCTCACTGTCCTAACTATCTCACAATCCTAACTATCAGATTGTCCTAAATGTCTCACAGTCCTAACTGTCTCACTGTCCTAACTATCTCACAGTCCTAACTATCTCACAGTCCTAAATGTCTCACAGTCCTAACTGTCTCACAGTCCTAACTGTCTCACTGTCCTAACTGTCTCACTGTCCTAACTGTCTCACTGTCCTAACTGTCTCACAGTCCTAACTGTCTCACTGTCCTAACTGTCTCACTGTCCTAACTATCTCATAATCCTAACTATCTCACAGTCCTAACTGTCTCACTGTCCTAACTATCTCACAGTCCTAACTGTCTCACAGTCCTAACTATCTCACAGTCCTAACTATCTCACAGTCCTAACTATCTCACAGTCCTAACTATCTCACGGTCCTAACTATCTCACGGTGCTAACTGTCTCACTGTCCTAACTATCTCACTGTCCTTGCTTACCAACAGTCCAAGCTATCCAAAGAGCCAAGCTATCTCACAAAAATATCTATCAAACATACCTTACTATCTCACTGTACAAGCTACCCATAGTACTGACTCTCACTGTCCTAGCTATCTCACTGTACAAGCTACCCACAGTACTGACTCTCACCGTCCTAGCTATCTCACTGTACAAGCTACCGATAGTACTGACTCTCACCGTCCTAGCTATCTCACTGTACAAGCTACCCATAGTACTGACTCTCACCGTCCTAGCTATCTCACTGTACAAGCTACCCACAGTACTGGCTCTCACCGTCCTAGCTATCTCACTGTACAAACTACCCATAGTACTGACTCTCACCGTCCTAGCTATCTCACTGTACAAGCTACCCACAGTACTGGCTCTCACCGTCCTAGCTATCTCACTGTACAAGCTACCCACAGTACTGGCTCTCACCGTCCTAGCTATAACCCAGTTTGAGCTATCCCACAACCCAAACTATCAAACAGGTCCAAATATTTCAAGGCATAGCTATTTCCGGCTATCCCAGAGTTTGAGCTCAAAAGTCCAGCTATCTCACAGCCCAAGTTTTTATAATGTCCTTGCTATCTCCCAGCCCAAGTTATTATAATGTCCTACCCATCTCCCAACCCAAGTTATTATAACGACCTACCCATGTACAAGCCCAAGTTATAATAATGTCCTAGCTATCTACCAGCCCAAGTTATTATAATGTCCTAGCTTTCTCACAGCCCAGGTTATTATAATGTCCTACCTATCTCCCAGCCCAAGTTATTATAATGTCCTAGCTATCTACCACCATCTACCTGCCCAAGTTATTATAATGTCCTACCTATCTACCAGCCCAAGTTATGATAATGTGTTAGCTATCTCCCAGCCCAAGTTATAATAATGTCCTAGCTATCTCCCAGCCCAAGTTATAATAATGTCCTACCTATCTACCTGCCCAAGTTATTATAATGTCCTACCTATCTCCCAGCCCAAGTTATTATAATGTCCTACCTATCTCCCAGCCAAAGTTATAATAATGTCCTAGCTTTCTACCAGCCCAAGTTATTATAATGTCCTACCTATCTACCTATCTCACCCAAGTTATTATAATGTCCTAGCCCAGTTATTATAATGTCCTACCTATCTTCCCAGCCCAAGTTATTATGTCCTACCTATCTCCCAGCCCAAGTTATTATAATGTCCTACCTATCTCCCAGCCCAAGTTATATAATGTCCTAATCTCCCACCCAAGTTATTATAATGTCCTACCTATCTCCCAGCCCAAGTTATTATAATGTCCTACCTATCTCCCAGCCCAAGTTATTATAATGTCCTACCTATCTCCCAGCCCAAGTTATAATAATGTCCTACCTAGCTATCTCCCAGCCCAAGTTATTATAATGTCCTACCTATCTCCCAGCCCAAGTTATTATAATGTCCTACCTATCTCCCAGCCCAAGTTATTATAATGTCCTAGCCTATCTCCCAGCCCAAGTTATTATAATGTCCTACCTATCTCCCAGCCCAAGTTATTATAATGTCCTACCTATCTCCCAGCCCAAGTTATTATAATGTCCTACCTATCTACCAGCCCAAGTTATTATAATGTCCTACCTATTTCCCAGCCGTCCTACCTATCTCCCAGCCCATTATTAGTGTCCTAGCTATCTGCCAGCCCAAGTTATTATAATGTCCTCTCTATCTCCCAGCCCAAGTTATAATAATGTCCTAGCTATCTGCCAGCCCGTTATAGTAATGTCCTACCTATCTCTCTACACACGCATCTTACCTTCCTCTTCATGTTGATATCTGCTCCCTTCTCTAGTAGATACTTGAGCAACTTGACATGACCATTCTGTGCTGTGATGAAGAGGGGAGTCGCACCATCTATCATCTGTGCATGGATATCAGCACCATGTGCCAGGAGCTCTTCCACCACATCAAGGTGATTGCACTGGCAGGCCACAAACAGAGGAGTCCCTCCATCCTGCCCGTAAATAATGTTACGCATCAATAACATAACCATGGACAGCAATATAACCAATATGCCATGCAGACATGAGCAACAGGGAATACTAACGGGAGTGCAGGAGTGAGTTTAGCTTTACGCCACTTTTTGCAATAGTCCAGCGATATCACAGCGGGGGACACAAGAAATTGGCTTGACACATTGTACCCAAGTGGGGATTCGAACATGGGCCTTTGGCGTGATAAGTGAATGTTTTAAGAACTTGGCTACCACACCACACAGAATACTAACTGGAATACGGTGTCTTGAAAAAAAACACAGATGGGGATGTAGATGGGGACGTAGGTGGTGATGTAGATGGGGATGTAGGTGGGCATGGTGATGCAGATGGGGATGCAGATGGGGATGTAGGTGGGGATGTAGATGGGGATGTAGATTGGGATGTAGGTAGGGATGCAGATGGGTATGTAATTGGGGAAAGAAATCGCGATGTAGATGGTGATGCAGGTGGGGATGCAGATGGGGATGAAGATGGGCATGGGGATGTTGATGGGTTGTAGGTGGGGATGCAGATGGGGATGTAGATGGGCATGGGGATGTAGATGGGTTGTAGGTGGGGATGCAGATGGGGATGTAGATGGGCATGGGATGTAGATGGGGTTGCAGATGGCGATGTAGATGGGCATGGGGATACAGATGGGAGATGCAGATGGGGATGTAGATGGAGATGTAGATGGGGATGCAGATGGGGATGTAGATGGAGATGTAGATGGGGATGCAGATAGTGATGGCATGATAAGTGAATGTTTTAAGAACTTGGCTACCACACCACACAGAATACTAACTGGAATACGGTGTCTTGAAAAAAAACACAGATGGGGATGTAGATGGGGACGTAGGTGGTGATGTAGATGGGGATGTAGGTGGGCATGGTGATGCAGATGGGGATGCAGATGGGGATGTAGGTGGGGATGTAGATGGGGATGTAGATTGGGATGTAGGTGGGGATGCAGATGGGTATGTAATTGGGGAGAGAAATCGCGATGTAGATGGTGATGCAGGTGGGGATGCAGATGGGGATGCAGATGGGCATGGGGATGTTGATGGGTTGTAGGTGGGGATGTAGATGGGCATGGGGATGTAGATGGGTTGTAGGTGGGGATGCAGATGGGGATGTAGATGGGCATGGGGATGTAGATGGGGTTGCAGATGGCGATGTAGATGGGCATGGGGATACAGATGGGGATACAGATGGAGATGCAGATGGGGATGTAGATGGAGATGTAGATGGGGATGCAGATAGTGATAGCGTGATAAGTGAATGTTTTAAGAACTTGGCTACCACACCACACAGAATACTAACTGGAATACGGTGTCTTGAAAAAAACACAAATGGGGATGTAGATGGGGACGTAGGTGGTGATGTAGATGGGGATGCAGATGGGGATGTAGATGGGGATGTAGATGGGGATGCAGATGGGGATGTAGATGGATAGGTAGAGATGGGGATGCAGATGGGGATGTAGGTGGGGATGTAGGTGGGCATGGTGATGCAGATGGGGATGCAGATGGGGATGTAGGTGGGGATGTAGGTGGGCATGGTGATGCAGATGGTGATGCAGATGGGGATGTAGGTGGGGATGTAGATGGGGATGCAGATGGTGATGTAGATGGGGATGTAGGTGGGAATGCAGATGGGGATGCAGATGGGGATGTAGATGGGGATGGATGGGGATGTATGCATGGGGATGTAGATGGGGAGGTGATGTAGGTGGGCATGGTGATGCAGATGGAGATGCAGATGGGATGTAGGTGGGGAGTAGATGGGGATGTAGATAGGATGTAGGGTGAGGGATGGGGATGTGTAGGGGATGTGGGATGGGGATGTAGGATGAAGATGCAGATGGGCATGTAGATGATGCATGGGGATGTAGATGAAAATATGGGATACAGATAGGGATGCAGATGGGGATTGCATGAAGGGGTGTAGATGGGGATGTAGATGGGGATGTAGATAGGGATGTAGATAGGGGATGTAGGTGGGGATGCAGATGGGGATGTAGATAGGCATGGGGATGTAGATGAAAAGAAATGGGGATGTATATGAGGAAACAAATGGGGATGTAGATGGGGATGTATGGGAATACAGGATGGGGATAGTGAAACAGATGGGATGTAGATGGAAACAGAAGGGGATGTAGATGGGGATGTAGATGGGGATGCAGGTAGGGGATGCAGATGGTAGAAGGATGTAGGGTTGATGGGGATGCAGATGGGGATGCAGATGGGGATGTAGATGGGGATGTAGATGGGGATGTAGATGGGGATGTAGATGGGATGCAGATGGGGATGCAGATGGGGATGTAGATGTGGGATGGGGATGGATGCAGATGGGGATGCAGATGGGGATGTAGGTGGGGATGCAGGATACAGATGGGGATGTAGGTGGGCATGGTGATGCAGATGGGGATGCAGGTGGGGATGCAGATGGGGATGTAGTCAGGGATGGGATAGGGATGCAGATGGGGATGTAGATGGGGATGTAGGTAGGGATGAAAGATGGGGATGTAGGTGGGGATGCAGATGGGGATGTAGATAGATAGGGATGTAGATGGGGATGGGATGGGGATATAGATGAAAGAAATCGGGATGCAGATGGGGATGCAGATGGGGATGTAGGTGGGGGTGCAGATGGGGATGTAGATGGGGATGTAATTGAGGATGTAGATGGGGATGTAGATGGGGATGTAGGTGGGGATGCAGATGGGGATGAAGGTGGGCATGGGGATGTAGATGAAAGAAATCGGGATGTATATGAGGAAACAAATGGGGATGTAGATGGGGATATGGATGGGAATACGGATGAAGATGTAGATGGGGAAACAGAAGGGGATGCAGATGGGGAATTGAGATGGGGAAGCAGAAGGGGATGCAGATGGTGAAGGCTATGGGGTTGCAGATGGGGATGCAGATGGTGACTATCAAAGGCACAAACTTTCACTCACATAGCTAGGAAGGTCGACCTGCGCACCCTGCTCCAGCAGGAGCCTCACAATGTCCACAAAGCCTCCCTGGCTTGCAAAGAACAGAGCACAAGTCCCAGTCTGGAACAGAGACAGAGGTTCAGGGACAAGTCCCAGCAAACTGCCATCTGAGTATCACAGTGCAGCAGATATGAGAGAGGACATGAAAATTATGTGGCAGTGCTTTCCTTCACTCATATTCTAAGTAGTCAAAAATATTGGTCATTCCAATGTTCAGCTTAGACTTTAATCTCATTATTTATGTTTCTGTGCTTTTGTGAAATCAAACAGTTGTTACTGTGATTAATTCCTTTGAATACATTACCTCCATTACATGACAGAGTCACTGATCAAATGGGCAGTATCAAAACGGATCAGCTATACAAAAACAAGGCCAGGAATACACCACTTGGTGATGGATTATTTCTGATGTAATAGACATCCATATGTGCTCTCACTACAGGTAATACAGCATCTTCAGGATATGGTCCAAAGAGCTATGCCAACATCCATGTATGCAGACAACAGGTCCTATAGCATCTTCAGGATAATTGTGCAAAGAGCTGGGTCCTCCAGTATCTTCTGGTTATGGTCCAAAGAGCTGTGCCAACATCCATATCTGTCCTGATTACAGGTCCTCCAGTATCTTCTGGTTATGGTCCAAAGAGCTGTGCCAACATCCATATCTGTCCTGATTACAGGTCCTCCAGTATCTTCTGGTTATGGTCCAAAGAGCTGTGCCAACATCCATATCTGTCCTGATTACAGGTCCTCCAGTATCTTCTGGTTATGGTCCAAAGAGCTGTGCCAACATCCATATCTGTCCTGATTACAGGTGCTCCAGTATCTTCTGGTTATGGTCCAAAGAGCTGTGCCAACATCCATATCTGTCCTGATTACAGGTCTGTGGTCCAACTGTGCTCATCCATATCTGTCCTGATTACAGGTCCTCCAGTATCTTCTGGTTATGGTCCAAAGAGCTGTGCCAACATCCATATCTGTCCTGATTACAGGTCCTCCAGTGCCAACATCCATATCTGTCCTGATTACAGGTCCTCCAGTATCTTCTGGTTATGGTCCAAAGAGCTGTGCCAACATCCATATCTGTCCTGATTACAGGTCCTACAGCATCTTCTGGTTATGGTCCAAAGAGCTGTGCCAACATCCATATCTGTCCTGATTACAGGTCCTCCAGTATCTTCTGCTTATGGTCCAAAGAGCTATGCCAACATCCATATCTGTCCTGACTACATCAACTCTTAAAAACTCTTAAATAGGTACCTGAGTACCAGGTTCAACATATCTCAACCCTAAAAGATAGTAATAAAAATTTCTTGGCTGACAACCTATTACTTGAAGAAGAGTCAGCAGATTTCATCGTAAACCTTAACAAGCTGTACAAACTATTTGATAATGTTTTGCAACTGTTGCATTTGGAATTATGTTTGCATGAGCTCTTCTCTTCTCGCCTGCTGAGGGTTTTACTCACAAGTATTAAATATGCTGGTGAGGAGGACACTTGCTGATAATTTTTTTGTGTGTGATTAGAGTCAAAACAGAAATTAATGGCTTTTAATGTAGAGAGGCAGGGCATTCCAAGGAACTTTAGTGCAAATGGCAAACCTTGTGAGTTTCAAAATCATAAGATTGGGCTGCCTCATGCTGAGATCATGCGAAACTGTATAGGTTCTCCAAGCTGCTTAAAAGTTTGTTTGTTCAAAACCTTTAACAACTGCAGTTCAGCAGTTACTATGACATTTTTATGACTGAGAAATGGGTTGCGATTAGTAACATGCATCGTGGACCAAACAACAGCTAAGGAGCAAGAACTTTTACGATTATTATTATATACATTCACATAACAGATCAACTTAATTTTTTTACAGAGCTCCAAAGTGCAAAAATCCCCAAAGTAATAGATTAATTAAGCTAAGACTATAAGCCAAAGAAAGTTAGAGGTACCCGGTACATTCACTTTCTTTTTCTTCTAATACTCACACTTTAAGGTCACTTGAATATGAAATCTAACTCCACAATGTTTTAAACTGCTATCACAATAATCTTTATGCACATAATTTCCAGGTAGTTTGTAAAATGCCTGAATTATTAAGGGGTCGCAAAGATGCTTGCACTTCTCAATTAATTCCAAGACCAAACTGTTTTTCAATGTTGATCAGTGTGAGCATATCCCCTCATACTATGCACTTACAGGTTCCACCACAGAGGTCGTGAAATAGTCAAGTATTCTGAGATATCATCTAGGTTTCCACAGGAAAACAAACAATATTAAAAGCAACAACCAATCCCTTGGAACAGCTCTAGATCAGTGTCCCTGTATTCATGTTCAGCAGGTCGGTGCATCTTTCTCACCAGTCTCCTGGCTGCTGAGTCAGCGCCCTGTCGGAGCAGCTCCCTCACACACTCCAGGTGGTTGTTGGCTGCAGCTAGTATTAGTGGAGTTGTCCCCTCCTGAAACACCATCAATAATGCATTATTCATCATCATCATACATATTCATTTTATAGAGCACTGAAAAATATTACACACTGTCAAACAATGCAGTAATTGTTTCTGTTGAGATGCAGTGGAGGGCTGTACCGTGCAATGGTGTGCAGTTACTCTTTATAGATGACTTTGGGGTCAAGGATAGTCTGGAATCTTCTACAACATCCAGTCTAATCCTGCACAGGTAAGAAATGTCAGGCAGATTTTTAAAACTACACAAGGGGGAAAAAGGCATGCCTCTACTATCTCAAGACCAGCAGACATGTAAAGTTTATACTTTCAAACTTGTTCAGCTTTGTTGGAGGCGCGAGTGACCACCGTTGCTGCCAGCTGAATAACATTATCACTGACTTTATTTAAGAGTAGCTCTGCCATTATATTTAATACTGCGAATGTAACTAGACTGCCAATGTTACTGTACTACCAATGTAACTGTACTGCCAATGTTACTGTACTGCTGCCAATGTTACTGTACTGCCAATGTAACTGTACTGCCAATGTAACTGCACTGCCAATGTAACTGTACTGCCAATGTTACTGTACTGCCAATGTAACTGTACTGCCAATGTTACTGTACTACCAATGTAACTGTACTGCCAATGTAACTAGACTGCCAATGTTACTGTACTGCCAATGTTACTGTACTGCCAATGTAACTGTACTGCCAATGTTACTGTACTGCCAATGTAACTGTGCTGCCAATGTTACTGTACTGCCAATGTTACTAGACTGCCAATGTTACTGTACTGCCAATGTTACTGTACTGCCAATGTAACTGTACTGCCAATGTTACTGTACTACCAATGTAACTGTACTGCCAATGTTACTGTATTACCAATGTAACTGTACTGCCAATGTTACTGTACTGTCAATGTTACTGTACTGCCAATGTAACCGTACTGCCAATGTTACTGTACTGCCAATGTAACTGTACTGACAAAGTAACTGTGCTGCCAATGTAACTAGACTGCCAATGTTACTGTATTACCAATGTAACTGTACTGCCAATGTTACTGTACTGTCAATGTTACTGTACTGCCAATGTAACCGTACTGCCAATGTTACTGTACTGCCAATGTAACTGTACTGACAAAGTAACTGTGCTGCCAATGTAACTGTACTGCCAATGTTACTGTACTGCCAATGTTACTGTACTACCAATGTAACTGTGCTGCCAATGTTACTGTACTGCCAATGTTACTAGACTGCTAATGTTACTGTACTGCCAATGTAACTGTACTGTCAATGTTACTGTACTACCAATGTAACTGTACTGTACTGCCAATGTAACTGTACTGCCAATGTTACTGTATTACCAATGTAACTGTACTGCCAATGTTACTGTACTGTCAATGTTACTGTACTGCCAATGTAACCGTACTGCCAATGTTACTGTACTGCCAATGTAACTGTACTGACAAAGTAACTGTGCTGCCAATGTAACTGTACTGTCAATGTTACTGTACTGCCAATGTAACTGTACTGACAAAGTAACTGTGCTGCCAATGTAACTGTACTGTCAATGTTACTGTACTGCCAATGTAACTGTACTGCCAATGTTACTGTACTACCAATGTAACTGTACTGTCAATGTTACTGTACTACCAATGTAACTGTGCTGCCAATGTTACTGTACTGCCAATGTTACTGTACTGCCAATGTTACTAGACTGCCAATGTAACTGTACTGTCAATGTTACTGTACTGCCAATGTAACTGTACTGCCAATGTTACTGTACTACCAATGTAACTGTACTGCCAATGTTACTGTACTACCAATGTAACTGTGCTGCCAATGTAACTGTACTGTCAATGTTACTGTACTGCCAATGTAACTGTACTGTCAATGTTACTGTACTGCCAATGTAACTGTACTGCCAATGTTACTGTACTACCAATGTAACTGTGCTGCCAATGTAACTGTACTTGTCAATGTTACTGTACTGCCAATGTAACTGTACTGTCAATGTTACTGTACAGCCAATGTAACTGTACTGCCAATGTAACTGTACTGACAAAGTAACTGTACTGCCAATCTTACTGTACTACCAATATAACTGTACTGCCAATGTAACTGTACTGCCAATGAATTAGTACTTCTACTCTATTTCTTACTACCAACATGATTCCTTAGCAGTAAACTGCATTGATTTGTACATAGTTTTATGACACAGTTGTTTATTGTATATCATTTCTTTGGTAGTTGACATTTGCTAATGATTTCTGGGTGAACTTATTGTTTCACCTTGACACTACACAAGAAACAATCTTCATAGCAATATGCAGGCAACAGTGAATGGCAGCTTTGTTACCGATAGTAACCAGGCACATCACAATGAGACAAGAACATGAATGACAACTTTGTTACCGATAGTAACCAGGCACATCACACAATGAGACAAGAAGATGAATGACAACTTTGTTACCGATAGTAACCAGGCACATCACACAATGAGACAAGAAGATGAATGACAACTTTGTTACCAATAGTAACCAGGCACATCACAATGAGACAAGAAGATGAATGACAATTTTGTTACTCATAGTAACCAGGCACATCACAATGAGACAAGAAGATGAATGACAACTTTGTTACTCATAGTAACCAGGCACATCACAATACGACAAGAAGATGAATGACAACTTTGTTACTCATAGTAACCTGGCACATCACAACGAGACAAGAACATGAATGACAACTTTGTTACCGATAGTAACCAGGTACATCACAATGAGACAAGAAGTTGAATGACAACTTTGTTACCAATAGTAACCAGGCACATCACAATGAGACAAGAAGATGAATGACAACTTTGTTACTGATAGTAACCAGGCACATCACAATGAGACAAGAAGATGAATGACAACTTTGTTACCGATAGTAACCAGGCACATCACAATGAGACAAGAAGATGAATGACAAACCAGGCACATGTTACTCATAGTAACCAGGCACATCAAATGAGACAAGAAGATGAATGACAACTTTGTTACCGATAGTAACCAGGCACATCACAATGAGACAAGAAGATGAATGACAACTTTGTTACCAATAGTAACCAGGCACATCACAGTGAGACAAGAAGATGAATGACAATTTTGTTACCAATAGTAACCAGGCACATCACAATGAGACAAGAAGATGAATGACAACTTTGTTACTGATAGTAACCAGGCACATCACAATGAGACAAGAAGATGAATGACAACTTTGTTACCAATAGTAACCAGGCACATCACAGTGAGACAAGAAGATGAATGACAACTTTGTTACCAATAGTAACCAGGCACATCACAATGAGACAAGAAGATGAATGACAACTTTGTTACCGATAGTAACCAGGCACATCACAATGAGACAAGAAGATGAATGACAACTTTGTTACTCATAGTAACCTGGCACATCACAATGAGACAAGAACATGAATGTCACTGTCCGTTTGTTGTACAATGCAACATATATGACAGCAGTCTCTAAATAGTACCGTGACTGACAGCATTTGCCATCAACCAGACTCTGTGAAGCTGCCATTTGTAGCCACTGTCATCTATATTCTCTGTGAAGCTGCAGTCTCAATCCTCTGGAAGCTGCCCTCTGTATCATCTGTGAAGCCGCAGTCTGTATCCTTTGTGAAGCTGCAGTCTGTATCCTCTCTGAAGCCACAGTCTCTATCCTCTGTGAAGCCGAAGTCAGTATCCTGGGTGAAGCTGCCCCTTGTATCCCCTGTTAAGCTGCCCTCTGTATCCTCTGTGAAGCTGCCTTCTGTATCCCCTGTGAAGCTGCCCTCTGTATCCTCTGTGAAGCTGCCCTCTGTATCCTCTGTGAAGTTGCTCTCTGCATCCTCTGTGAAGCTGCAGTCTGAATCCTCTGTGAAGCCGCAGTCTGTATCCTCTGTAAAGCTGTAGTCTGTATCCACTGTGATGTGCCTTCTGTATCCTCTGTGAAGCTGCAGTCTGTATCCTCTGTGAAGCTGCCCTCTCTATCCTATGAAGCTGCCCTATCTATCCTGTGAAGCTGCCCTATCTATCCTATGAAGCTGCCCTCTCTATCCTCTGTGAAGCTGTCCTCTCTATCCTCTGTGAAGCTGCCGTATGTATCCTCTGTGAAGCTGCCCCTTGTATCCCCTGTTAAGCAGCCCTCTGTATCCTCTGTGAAGTTGTCCTCTGTATCCTCTGTGAAGCTGCCCTCTCTATCCTCTGTGAAGCTGCCGTATGTATCCTCTGTGAAGCTGCCCTCTCTATCCTGTGAAGCTGCCCTCTCTATCCTCTGTGAAGCTGCCGTATGTATCCTCTGTGAAGCTGTCCTCTCTATCCTCTGTGAAGCTGCCGTCTGTATCCTCTGTGAAGCTGCCCTCTCTATCCTCTGTGAAGCTGCCCTCTGTATCCTCTGTGAAGCTGCCCTCTGTATCCTCTGTGAAGTTGCCCTCTGTATCCTCTGTGAAGTTGCTCTCTGTATCCTCTGTGAAGCTGCACTCTGTATCCTCTGTGAAGTTGTCCTCTGTATCCTCTGTGAAGTTGTCCTCTCTATCCTCTGTGAAGCTGCCTTCTCTATCCTCTGTGAAGCTGTCCTCTGTATCCTCTTGTGAAGTTGTCCTCTGTATCCTCTTTGAAGTTGCACTCTGTATCCTCTGTGAAGCTGCCCTCTCTATCCTCTGTGAAGCTGCACTCTGTATCCTCTGTGAAGCTGCACGTTATGTATCCTCTGTGAAGTTGTCCTCTGTATCCTCTGTGAAGTTGTCCTCTGTATCCTCTGTGAAGCTGCCTTCTCTATCCTCTGTGAAGCTGCCCTCTGTATCCTCTGTGAAGCTGCCCTCTCTATCCTCTGTGAAGCTGTCGTATGTATCCTCTGTGAAGCTGCCCTCTCTATCCTCTGTGAAGCTGTCGTATGTATCCTCTGTGAAGCTGCCCTCTCTATCCTCTGTGAAGCTGTCGTATGTATCCTCTGTGAAGCTGCCCTCTCTATCCTCTGTGAAGCTGCCCTCTCTATCCTGTGAAGCTGTCCTCTCTATCCTCTGTGAAGCTGCCCTCTGTATCCTCTGTGAAGCTGCCCTCTCTATCCTCTGTGAAGCTGCCCTCTGTATCCTCTGTGAAGCTGCCTTCTGTATCCTCTGTGAAGCTGCCCTATGTATCCTCTGTGAAGCTGCCGTATGTATCCTCTGTGAAGCTGCCTTATGTATCCTCTGTGAAGCTGCCGTGTTCCTCTCTGTCATCCTATCCTCTGTATCCCTGTTTCACATGTTCAAATGTCTATACCATGCATCATGTGACTGTCTCTATATATTTACTTAAGTCCATTTGCCTTGACATTTACCTGATAGTTTGTAAAGCAACTTTTCTTCTTCTTCATGCCAATGTCTGAAATAATAGTGACAATTTGATATGGACAACTGGCTAACTTTCATGCCATGTATTACGATTTGTCCCTGTATTAGTGTGTGTACAATGCATCTCATGTATTAGTGTGTACAATGCATCTCATGTATTAGTGTGTGTACAATGCATCTCATGTATTAGTGTGTGTACAATGCATCTCATGTATTAGTGTGTGTATACAATGCATCTCATGTATTAGTGTGTGTACAATGCATCTCAAGTATTAGTGTGTGTACAATGCATCTCATGTATTAGTGTGTGTTCAATGAATCTCATGTATTAGTGTGTGTATACAATGCATCTCATGTATTAGTGTGTGTACAATGCATCTCATGTATTAGTGTGTGTACAATGCATCTCATGTATTAGTGTGTGTATACAATGCATCTCATGTATTAGTGTGTGTACAATGCATCTCATGTATTAGTGTGTGTACAATGCATCTCATGTATTAGTGTGTGTACCAATGAATCTCATGTATTAGTGTGTGTACAATGCATCTCATGTATTAGTGTGTGTACAATGCATCTCATGTATTAGTGTGTGTACAATGCATCTCATGTATTAGTGTGTGTACAATGTGTGTGTACAATGCATCTCATGTATTAGTGTGTGTACAATGCATCTCATGTATTAGTGTGTGTACAATGCATCTCATGTATTAGTGTGTGTACAATGCATCTCATGTATAAGTGTGTATACAATGCATCTCAACTATGTTTGTGCACCACGTCAGTATCACACGTGTGTTCCACATGGCAGTACCCTATTTGTACCATGTCAGTACCCTAGTTGTACCATGGCAGTACCTTATTTGTACCATGTCAGTGTCCTATTTGTACCATGTCAGTGTCCTATTTGTACCATGGCAGTACCTTATTTGTACCATGTCAGTGCACCACATCTGTACCATGTCAGTGTCCTATTTGTACCATGGCAGTACCTTATTTGTACCATGTCAGTGCACCACATCTGTACCATGTCAGTGTCCTATTTGTACCATGGCAGTACCTTATTTGTACCATGTCAGTGCACCACATCTGTACCATGTCAGTGTCCTATTTGTACCATGGCAGTACACCACGTCTGTACCATGTCCTTATACCATAGTTCCAGGCACCAACACACACAATAGCATTCTTTCTGGACATTAGCATCTTTTAACATTGAACTCAGTGCTATCAACCATACTGGAATGAAGACTGAAGAAATGCACTCCTGTAGTAGCAGTTTGATTCATGTGTTACAGCAACAGTCTACAGCAGTCTTTGTGTATACTTCAGTAACTGCTTGACACATACTTAAACAAAATCACCTTTCAAGGAGTACTCTGCTATCTCTCTTGTCATGAGTGGGGTCAGACATTTTGATGTCTTGTACTTGAGGTAAATGTATTTGGATGCAGTGTAATAAACACTGACATACTATGGTAGTTCAAAGAGACCTATCTTGCCAGTGTAAGTCTTAGAGGAGTGTAGTGTAGCTACTCCCAATGTCGCTGGGGTTTCAGACCAACTGTTGCGTAGGTATGGGTGGTGATGATTGATGTGCCATATCAAATGTCATTGAATGGGTATGTATGGGTGGTGATGATTGATGTGCCATATCAAATGTCATTGAATGGGTATGTATGGGTGGTGATGATTGATGTGCCATATCATATGTCATTGAATGGGAAGGTATGGGTGGTGATGATTGATGTGCCATATCAAATGTCACTGAATGGGTATGTATGGGTGGTGATGATTGATGTGCCATATCAAATGTCATTGAATGGGCATGTATGGGTGGTGATGATTGATGTGCCATATCAAATGCCATTGAATGGGCATGTATGGGTGGTGATAATTGATGTGCCATATCAAATGTCACTGAATGGGTATGTATGGGTGGTGATGATTGATGTGCCATACCAAATGTCATTGAATGGGCATGTATGGGTGGTGATGATAGATGTGCCATATCAAATGCCATTGAATGGGCATGTATGGGTGGTGATAATTGATGTGCCATATCAAATGTCATTGAACGGGCATGTATGGGTGGTGATGATTGATGTGTCATGTCAAATGTCATTGAATGGGCATGTATGGGTGGTGATGATTGATGTGCCATATCAAATGTCATTGAATGGGCATGTATGGGTGGTGATGATTGATGTGCCATATCATATGTCATTGAATGGGAAGGTATGGGTGGTGATGATTGATGTGCCATATCATATGTCATTGAATGGGAATGTATGGGTGGTGATGATTGATGTGCCATATCAAATGTCATTGAATGGGAATGTATGGGTGGTGATGATTGATGTGCCATATCAAATGTCATTGAATGGGAATGTATGGGTGGTGGTGATTGATGTGCCATATCATATGTCATTGAATGGGCATGTATGGGTGGTGATGATTGATGTGCCATATCATATGTCATTGAATGGGAAGGTATGGGTGGTGATGATTGATGTGCCATATCATGTCATTGAATGGGAATGTATGTGTGGTGATGATTGATGTGCCATATCAAATGTCATTGAATGGGTATGTATGGGTGGTGGTGATTGATGTGCCATATCATATGTCATTGAATGGGCATGTATGGGTGGTGATGATTGATGTGCCATATCAAATGTCATTGAATGGGAATGTTCAGAGTAGCCAAAACATTCATTCGGGTGAGGGGGGCATTGGGTGTCTGAGATAGCAATGCTCTGTATATCTGGAATTGTCTCCTTCAAGCCACATACAACATATTTCAGCAGCATGAGTGGCCAGAAATGGAGCCCCTGCTACAGGACTGAATCGATGTAAGGTGCTTCACTAACCTTTAACAAGGCAACCTGTTGCCACCAAAATGTCAATAAACGTTCACTGATGCCATTTCTGCCTACAACTGATTCTCATTTGAGGAGCCCAGAGAGTATTTACCTCTCGCAGTCATGATCACAACTTGATTCCCCAAAGATCAGAGGCACAGTTATCATGTCTGACTGCAGGTACAACACTATTGAGTCAGCGCCAGTACGCAATAACTGACATATGGTTAAGCACAATTTACACGTTCTCCTCAAGTAGAGTTAGGCTTCTGACCATTGTAACGCATGGTGGGCAGATTAGTCTGGGGAGAGTATAGGGGATCACAACATTGTACTCATGATTTATTCTACTGTAACTGATATTTGTCTTACTATAGGTAATTTGACATGACATACTTATGACAAAAAATCATTCTTTTGTCTGTCTTGATTCACATTACTGTAGTGCTTGTCTGTAGTGGAGCCTACTGGATGGAAGGTGCTTACCTGTCTGTCTGTAGTGGAAGGTGGTTGCTTGTCCCTCTGTAGAGAAGTGTACTGGGAGGAGAGTGCATGTCTGTCTGTAGTGGAGTGTACTGGGTGGAGAGTGCATGTCTGTCTGTAGTGGAGCGTACTGGGAGGACAGTGCATGTCTGTCTGTCGTGGAGTATACTGGAGTGGAGCGTGCATGTCTGTCTGTAGTGGAGTGTACTGGGTGGAGAGTGCATGTCTGTCTGTAGTGGAGTGTACTTGGTGGAGAGTGCATGTCTGTCTGTAGTGGAGTGTACTGGGTGGAGAGTGCATGTCTGTCTGTAGTGGAGTGTACGGGGTGGAGAGTGCATGTCTGTCTGTAGTGGAAGCGTCATGGGGTGGGAGAGTGCATGTCTGTCTCTAGTGGAGCGTCACGGGGTGGAGAGTGCATGTCTGTCTGTAGTGGAGCGTCCGGGGTGGAGAGTGCATGTCTGTCTGTAGTGGAGTGTACTGGGTGGAGAGAGCATGTCTGAAAGATCTTGCTGACAATTCAGGTTAACATGCTGAAATCTTCAAAGTGTCATCGTGACCCTGAAAATTATTTGAAGGTCACCAAAATTGACTGGGCCCTGAGACTTCCCTAGATGAAGCTTGGTGTCACATATGAAGAAAGTCTAGATAATATTTTTTGCAATATCTTGCTGACTATCTTAACATGCAATTTAACATGCTGAAATCTTCCAAGTGTTTCTGTGACCGTAAAAATTAAGTGAAGGTCACCAAAATCGACTGGACCCTGCCCCTTTCCTGGATGAAGCTCGGTGTCAAATATGAAGAAACTCCAGTGAATGGTTCTTGAGGTATCTCGCTGACAAGCCTAACATGCAGGTTAATATGCTGAAATCTTCAAAGTGTCTTTGTGACCTTGAACATTAAGTGAAGGTCACCAAAATTGACTGGGCCCTGCGCCTTCCCTAGACAAAGCTTGATTTCAAATATGAAGAAAATCCAGTTCACGGTTCTTGAGATAGCTTAACATGCAGGTAAAACGTTAAAGTCCCTATGTGACCTTGAAATGAAGGTCAAGGTCACCAAACCGGACTTGGACCTTTTTTATACTGTGATGAACCTAGGTACCAAATATGAAAAGAATCTAGCAAACTGTTCTTAAGATATTCCAATTCATACGTACGGACAGACGTACGTACGTACATAAGTAACCTAATACTATATCCCCAGCTTCGTGCTAAACATGCAGCGGGGGATAATAAATGTTTCCAGCCTCACCAAAGGAAATATCTCTTACAACTTCACTGCTTGTGCAGCCAATATCAACATAAAAACACACGTGGGACTATGCCATCAAGAAAACATTAAGTCAAACCACATCTTTGATCACGTAATAGTGAGAAGGAACCAACATAGCGAAGCTATTATGTCACATCAACACCTACTGAGACAATGTAGACAATGTACATAACTGACGATGTACCAGAATGTAATATGAGGCCTTCTAACAGCTAATGAGGCATAGTTTTCAGCCATTCACTGACGCATCCACCAAAAGCTGCA